GAGCGGTTCGACCATCATTGTCCTTGGGTGGGGAACTGTGTTGGGAAGCGAAACTATCGTTTTTTTTACGCATTCATAGTGTCACTATCCTTTCTGACCTCCTTTATCTTTGGCTGTGTGATTACTCACCTCACATTAAGTAAGTTTCACAACACTTTCTGCACCACAGTCTCCATCTTCATCATAAAAAATCTTAATACTTATCTATGACAGTTGTCAGTGGGAGAGCTATAAATGAGTGCATCTATGTTGAAATGGTAATTGTTCAAAACCAAGAAACCTTTAAATACTTTCTATATAGACATGTTCAAAAGTTTGGGGTCATTAAGATTTTACTATTTTTGTTTTTTAAGAAATTAATATTTTATTCTGCATGGATGTGTTAAATTAATCACAACTGACAGTAAAGACAATTATAATGTCATAATGAAATCCAAATAAATTATGTTCTAATCATCCTAAATCATAAAAAAAACCACATAGTGAGGTAGATATGTGGGGGCGTGTTAGAACGAGCCGTTTTAGGTAGGTGTGGCTGACTGTGAACTTTTATAAAGAATATCTCTTTGGATTTGAGACTTTAGTCTTTGCAACTTTACAGATCTTCTTTATGCAACAAGAGCTTGTAACACTCCAAAGAGAAAGGAAAAATTGAAATCGCATCATATGACCCCTTTAAGCAGTACTGTAGATGTATATGATGAGATTGTCAAAATACAACAAAAAAAAAAAACTTTTTCAGTCAGGTTTGAAGCAGGTTTGTTCTCTCATCAGTTACTCTCATCAACAGGATCACAAAGTGTGAATGGTATCATCCAGGCAATAAAGGAGAGCCCAGCCAGATATCCTTTTTACTGTGTTCACACCCCTGTCTCCATCGCTGGCATGTCTGCACCACCCCTTTCCCCAGGAACACACAATAGAGTTCACTATTTGTTTACAGGCCCACTGCTGTTGGTTCCACCTTTTTCCTAATCCCATTCATCCCTAATCGGCTCAAGGATTCCACCACGCCCTGCTTTCCTGTCAGGATGTAAACAGTTGTCCCTAGATACAGATTCTGCTGGTGTCCCTTTTTAAGATTGTGGCTTGAGGTCACAGTTTTCCACCACAACCTGTCAGTTAATTAACCTTTGTGGTTCATGTGATTGGGCAGAATGTTCAACATTGGATTGATTTTGCGTGATTATTCTTAAATCACTGTACTATTATTATGTATATTTTGTACATTAATACACATTTACAGCAGATTTGCATCCTTAACCCTTCCTTCACTGTTGTCGAGCTAGTCATTTGTTTTTTCTCCATCTGGTCCATTCTGGGTCCGTCAGGTTTCCATACTTATCTTGTGGCCTCCAATCTCACAACCAACGAAGATGTAAATATCACAATGAATGCTAAGTTAATGTATAATTTTAAAAGCTATATCATTAATTGTGTTTGAATGTAATTAACACTTATCATTTAATTGTGGTGTTTTATATAGTCAGAATGAAGAACAGCTTCTTTGTGTTTAATGATTGCAGATCAAAGGCTCTTGGTCCAGTAAAAGAGGAGAAGAATCAGGGAATCCGTACACCTATAACAACATCTTCACAAACTGCTGTGTGGTGCTTTGTGGGCCGATGCCACCCAGGTCTGTACTGCATGCTCATGCCAACATCATAGCACACCTCCTAAGATTTAGCTAAAGAAGCAAATATTGTTTGTTTGTGAGTGAATGAAGGATGTCATTTACCAATCATATGAAATTAGTATTAATAAATTAATTTGTACTACAGAGGTGCCACAGAACACAAAAGTGGCATGTAGGTACATTTTCAGACGTTTAATGAGGCTCAGAGGTGGCATGAGTGCAATAAAATTCATAAATTCATGTGGAGATTAATGTTTTAAATATAAAATTTTGAATACAGAAATATTAAATGATTTAAATAACTGAAATTATACACTAAAACTGAAACTAAATCTGCCAGCAGGTGGCGGCAAGTCACTGATTTTATCACTGAATCATTCATTCAATTGATTCGTTCGAACGGCTTAATCATTCAGGAATGAAGCAAGTGACTGTCTTTATGAACTGACGGAAATCCGTCGTAGCGACGGAAAACTTTAATCCCTGTGTACAGTTTTTGTACATGATGGCCCATCTTTCCCAATTCAGTCTGTGCTGTGTTTTGAAAGTCAGGTCACAATAGGTCACCTACTCATCCTGTCATCTTTTGCAGCTTGATTGACAGAAGAGGCTTTTTACCTCCAGATGATGCACCTCAAATTGTGACCTCTGACACTGAGCACCCTCATTTCGTGGCTAAGAATGGCACAAATATGGTAAGAGTGCCTCATCACGTGATATCTTCAAGGCGGAGCATTATTTCCAAAATCATTTTAACACTAAAAGTATTTTTTAAATAGTTTAAACATTGTAGCTGTAGTTTAAAAGTCTGATACATTGGTCAGTCAAAAAACATTCCATGGCATTTCAAACCATACACTAGCACTCTAAAGTTTGGATTCAGTAAGATTTATCTTAAACAAATTAATTATTTTATTCAGAAAGGATGCATTAAGTTGATCAGAAGTGACAGTAAAGACTTTTGCATTGTTACAAAAAATATATTTAAGTGGAATGCCATTGTGTTGATGAATTTTCACATTATTACTGTTTTTATTACTGTTATTTTTGATCAAATAAATGCATTCTTGGTGAGCATAAGAGATGTATCTCAAAAAGATGTTACCAAGCCCAGACTTTTGAATGGTTGTAAATATGAACCGAAACCATGACTTCAACAGATCTGATACCACGAACTTTGTCACAGAAAAGCATGTGAAAATTAATGTGAGGTTATTCTGGTTTAATCATGTTTATTGTAAACCCTGGCTTGCTGGGAAAGAGCTCATATTTACAGTTAATGAGGCTTGCACCTGTTCTGTTTGATGTGTGAAGATATGCACATGGAAAAATTTAGATGGATGACAAATGGATTGGAACAGCACATCAACCTTACGGAAGATTATGGAGTCACGTTTCAGTAAAAATTTAAACAAGTTGGCAATCAAGGTTACAAATGCTATTTTAAGTTATTTTAAGTTTTTGTCACTGCTAGTCGCAAAGCTAGAGTGGAGTGAAATCATGCAGAGAAGGTTAGATTTGTAAAAAAAAGTTTTTAATTGTAGATGTTTGAAGTCCACAAATTCCACTCACATTGTAGCTGTAGTTTAAAAGTCTGATACATTGGTCAGTCAAAAAACATTCCATGGCATTTCAAACCATACACTAGCACTCTAAAGTTTGGATTCAGTAAGATTTATCTTAAACAAATTAATTATTTTATTCAGAAAGGATGCATTAAGTTGATCAGAAGTGACAGTAAAGACTTTTGCATTGTTACAAAAAATATATTTAAGTGGAATGCCATTGTGTTGATGAATTTTCACATTATTACTGTTTTTATTACTGTTATTTTTGATCAAATAAATGCATTCTTGGTGAGCATAAGAGATGTATCTCAAAAAGATGTTACCAAGCCCAGACTTTTGAATGGTTGTAAATATGAACCGAAACCATGACTTCAACAGATCTGATACCACGAACTTTGTCACAGAAAAGCATGTGAAAATTAATGTGAGGTTATTCTGGTTTAATCATGTTTATTGTAAACCCTGGCTTGCTGGGAAAGAGCTCATATTTACAGTTAATGAGGCTTGCACCTGTTCTGTTTGATGTGTGAAGATATGCACATGGAAAAATTTAGATGGATGACAAATGGATTGGAACAGCACATCAACCTTATGGAAGATTATGGAGTCACGTTTCAGTAAAAATTTAAACAAGTTGGCAATCAAGGTTACAAATGCTATTTTAAGACGTTTTTGTCACTGCTAGTCGCATAGCTAGAGTGGAGTGAAATCATGCAGAGAAGGTTAGATTTGTAAAAAAAAGTTTTTAATTGTAGATTTTTGAAGTCCACAAATTCCACTCCAGATTCGTTTTAGTTTATGTTTTGATATTGATTTGCATCAAGCCCTGATGTTTTAAGTTCTGAACTTCACACAGGAGGAGAACTGTCAGGAGTTTGCTCACTCCTGTACTGCCTGAAGGCTCCTGCAGCTCTTTGACATTCAATGGTAAGGGTGTGTTATGGGGCTGCTTGCATGCCATTCCATGGCTGCCTTCTCATGACTCTTTGGGCTTTACTTTGCCTTTTATTTGAACTGTCTAATTGGCTTCCATTTCTTTGCTTTAAAACCATTATCATAAGACATGTCCATCATGTGAGAGGAAATCATTGGGCTTGTTGTCTCTGTTCCTTCTTTGTTCCTGGATGAGTGTTTTAGCTGACATCTGTTTATATTCAATTTTGTGATGGTCGTGTTCATATATTAGTGTTTTCCAGAGGTCTGCAGTCGTTTTGTTTTTCCTTCATTATGTCATTGTTTCCTAATTAATGTATCATCGTCATCACGATTCATCTGTGCTTGTCTCATTCTCATCCACTCTGGGGATTCTGTTGACTGAGGTCATGGTAATGCTCATCACTAGTTATCATGCACACGTGTTCTTTTCCACCTTCTCTCATGATGGATGTTCATCCTGATGTTTTCATCTTTGCAACCCCTGGAGAGATCCCCTTATAACATCAGCTGCACTGCTTGAGCTAATCGGAAACCTTGAAGTGAAATGCTTTGTTTCCATTTGTTGCTACATTTTCATTTTACAAGTTCCTTGGCAATACTAACCTATTTTCATCTTTATTCTAATCTGGTTCTAGTTTCTTATACTCACACTTGCTCTGCTGTCTAACATCAGTTGATAATTTCTTATGTCTTATGTAAATGTATTCTTTACTAGTTTCAAGCATGACATTTACACACAGGTATAGTTCATGATACAGTGTTTCAGCATCTGAAGACGTCTTGGTTTATTTACTGTGAATGGAGCCCTTCCGAGACAGCTGAATGCATGTAAATGAATACACAGAGCTGAACTTCACTATGAAATCGGCAACCCATCAAAATAAAAGCTTGATGGTTTACCATTTGAAAATTTAGAAATTGAGTATAAAATTGTTTTATGCTCCGTTCATCTGTTTATTTTACAGTATTATTATTATTACAGTATATTTCTTATTCAATATTTTTGTTTCATAATATCACAATCTCAATATTCTAATCAATAATCACAGTAAAATCATGACAGTTATTATTTTATAGTCATATTGAATTAGTCAAAAACAATAGGAATGTGGCCTATAAAAACTCAAAAAGAAAGATTTTTTAACTTATTTTCCGTGTAGGTGCACTCCATAACAAAGTCACCCCACTAACTCTACAATAATTCTAAATAGTTATTTAAGTAATCATATCGATGTATATTGCAGAAAAACAAAATTATCGCAATGTCATATTTTTCCATATTTTTTTACCTTGTTCTTTTTTTTTGCCATTCTTTTCGCAGTGCACACAGGGCACAAAGGAGCTTTTAGAATCAATGGCACACTCTACAGTGATACAGAGCACCTGCGCTCCGGGCACACCCAAAACCACCCCGGTCCCCCAAGAGAGTCTACTAAGTACCGTCTCTATCACTGTCTCTCCCTCCAGCAAGTCTCCCTCTACCGGCTGCTCAGGCCGCCAGGCCCGGCGCCCCATTGACGTTCCCTGCTCCCAGAGAGGGAACAAGCAGGCCGCTCTTCACACCCACAAACCCATGTTGCGTGTATCCAGCCCTCCCTACTCCCTTGGCCACAGTCCGATCATTCTTAGTGACACTCCCGACATGGGCTTTATCCCACTTAACTGAGCGCAGTATCTCTGCCACCAGCAGCCTTGTGCAAACACTGTCCTCTCTTTTACCACTTTGAGAACAGCATCACACTTTTTAAGAAACTGTGACATACTATACTCGGGATCCTCTCAGGAAACATGCCATCTTTCATCAAATGGGAATAAGCCTGCATTGACTTCTTAAATATCAGAGGGATTTTGAGATTTTTTTTGTTCCGTTAACAACATCATACACTTGGTGGAGAGAAGCGCAAAACATCTTCAGATGATCAGTGTTTTACAGAACCTCAAGCCATTTTTTTTCAGCCTTTTGCCATCCGCTTAGACCTAATGCAATAATTATATGCTTTGAAAGGTCACTTGGGTCTAAAAAAGCCTTACTTCAGTCACTTCTGTTCATTTTGGTGTTAAAAGACCTTCTACAATAAAGTCATTGTTGGTTAAAAAGTATTCACACCAACAGCCAAGTATATAAACAGCAGTTATGAATGGGTATCAAGAGAGCTCAGGATTCAAGGGTTAATGTGTTATCTATGTACGCGATACAATGTTACTGTTGGTCCAAGGTTTATTTTCTCCTGTATAATGTTGCGGCTACAAATGAATTAACAGCTTTTATGTTTATTTTGTGTCGTTTTAATACAGGGTCTTTCCTTCATTGAAAAATTTTCGGTGGCAGCCCAAGTGAAATTTGGGTGTCCTAAAGCAAATGCAATAGTATTTGATGCAATATTTTTCCCCTAAGATCATTGTCTTCATCTTGAGTTCTGCATTTTTAGGTGGAAAGTGCTAGAGCACAGCGTGAACCACAGACCACAAAACCTGTTTGACCCATTTAAATTCTACTGAGAATTTTCTACTTTAAAGTACGGTCAAGGAAGTCAAATACCTTAAACAACTAGTTAGCCCTAAATTCATAAACGGTAATCTTGGGAATGCAAATGTGGATGTTGACTTCCCATAGCACTTTGAGGTAGAAAATTTGGTAACTCTATTGTACATTTCAATTTTAACTAATGCATTAATTAGTTAATGCGTTAGGTATCAGTGGTGTGAAAAAGTTTTTGCCCCCTTCCTGTTTTTTTAATTGTTTGCATATTCAGATCATCAAACAGAAAATAAACAAAACAGGAAGGGGGCAAAAACCTTTTCACGGCACTGTATCATGAACTAACAATGAAAAATATTTTTACAGCATTTATTAATGTGATAAATGTTAAATTCTACATATAATAATTTTTAACATTTCAAGTCATATCAACAAACATTAATGTATTATGAGCAAACGTTAGTTAATTCTAACTTAGATTAATAAATTATTTCAAAAGGTGTTTTTCATTATAATTTTAAGATTACCAAATGTAAAGTGTAATTGTAATTGCTATTATAATACATATTATGGCACAAATTATGTATAATGCATAATTATAAAAAATAATTGCATTTTGTGTAATCAATCAAATGTGCACGTGTATATAAGCAACCACTGAAAATCATTTTTAATCTAGGAAAAACCCTATAGTATTTCTGACTTTTCATTGGTGGGTCAAAGATAGTTTTCTGGTTGTTATTAAAGTGTTTTTACTAAGCTTGAGAGAAGAACTGTTTTTGCCTTGAGATTGATGGATTTCTGATGAGTTATTTACATCATTAAGATGATCATCAAGTTTTTTTTAATAAGTCGGAGTCTGGCACAGTAATAAAGTTGGCAGTATAAGTTTCAAAATATTTAGCTCATCTAAGAACTTAGACTTGTAGAAGTTGATCACTGCCAGCAGTGTTGGAGGGAAGGTAAACAAATAATGACTTGTTGTGTTTTGTGTTATTGTCCTTTTTCACCTGAAGATTTAAAGACTTAAAGTAATAAACAAATGTTCTTTCCACTTGTGATTTAGTTGCCTGAATGTTTTCATCTGTTTTTGAGGGACACAATCTCACATAACATCTTTCCTTGCCTTCTGTGATCTGCTGCATGCCAGACATTTAAACAGTAGATGGCACAGTTTTCCACTTGTTTGCATGCATCGGAAGAGGACAATGTATGGAGGCATCGTTGATTAATTATTGCTTGATTGATTCAAGCATTTGCATTTGTAGTACTTGAAAGTGATACTTGGCTTTACCACAATGCCATCAAGCTGACATTTATTCAAGATTCAAGATTTTTTATTTGTCACATACATGGTTATATAGAGAATATATGGCCAGCGTCTATGTTTTTTTTTTGCAGTCTATGGTTTTGACGGAACACTTATGCTCACATCCGCATGTAAACATGTCGTCAGCGTGGAAGTTCTTCATTGTGAGTTAAACAGACACAAAGTTCGCAATTTGTGATACAGTATTGACTGTTTTTGCTCAAGTTCGCTGACGAAGTTTCAATCAAAGCCACAGCAGAACTGTTTTGTGTCTCCGAGCAACAGCGGTGTTTCGATACTGAATGAATCCACGTTTTTTTAACGAATCTAGTGAGTCAATGATTCAGTAACCCATTCATAAAGACAGTAGTCACTTGCCTCGTTTTTGAATGAATCAGCCGTTTGAATGAGTAACTAATGACTCGCTCCGGAAGAGGACAATGTATGGAGGCATCGTTGATTAATTATTGCTTGATTGATTCAAGCATTTGCATTTGTAGTACTTGAAAGTGATACTTGGCTTTACCACAATGCCATCAAGCTGACATTTATTCAAGATTCAAGATTTTTTATTTGTCACATACATGGTTATATAGAGAATATATGGCCAGCAGTGAAATGTAAGTCAGGTCGACTCCATGGACAGTGCAATTATTAAAGAATACAAACACAAGAAAATTATATATAAATATAGGTATGGAAAAAGTACGATAAAAAAATAAGAATAAAAATAAAATGCACAGGACAGTATACTGTAGACTTAATAAATATTTAGATGAGCATGAATGTACAAGAGGAGAATGTGCAAACAGGTTGTACAGGGTAGTTACATATTCTGGTTTATTCTGGATGTAACAGGACTGGATATGGGAAATGCTGAAATGCATAATTGTGGGGTTGCTGTATATTCTCTCAGTGTAAGCTAGTCTATTCTAACAAAAAGATGTGGGATCAGTAAAGAAGAACAATCATCAGCTGAGTTTCAACCTCATCCCTGCAAACTAGTCGCTTTCAGCATTTCCCATATTTTGAATCAACATATGTCATTTATGTGAATCGTCTAGATCCGAAAAGTTTCATATTTAAAAGTATTACATTTTTCACAACATTTTTAACATGTATGTTCAAAAATATTTAAAACATTAATCTTATAAAATTATTTATGCATTTGAAATTTTGTGGTGTAAATGCATTTATGGCACCTCAGCTCATTAAACAGTATGTATAAATACATCTAATGCCACTTCAGATGCAGCTTATGTTTCCTCTGCAGTGAAAAGATAGAGTTTGTTGATAGTATGCGCACTCTAATGTGAACATTAAAATTTGCAAAAATAAATGACCACTGCTCACAAAGAGAAGTATGAGAGCTACAGAGAGCAGATGGCTCCGCATGCTTTCGAATCGCTCTCGCGGTACTTTGATGTCCGGTCGGTCTGAGCGCGGCTGTTTCAAATCGAACACGTCTCATCTCACAGCCGGTCAGTTTTGACGGCACACACGCTCACATCCGCATGTAAACATGTCATCGGCATAAGTTCTTAATTGTGAGTTAAACAGACACAAAATTCGCAATTGTAATACACTATTGACTGTTTTTGCTCAAGTTCGCTGACGAAGTTTCAATCAAAGCCACAGCAGAACTGTTTTGTGTCTCCGAGCAACAGCGGTGTTTCGATACTGAATGAATCCACGTTTTTTTAACGAATCTAGTGAGTCAATGATTCAGTAACCCATTCATAAAGACAGTAGTCACTTGCCTCGTTTTTGAATGAATCAGCCGTTTGAATGAATGACTAAGGACTCGCTCATTAAAACCGTCATCTACTGGTGGTTTGGTTTCATATTTAAAAGTATTAAATTTTTCCCAACATTTTTAACTTGTATGTTCAAAAATATTTAAAACATTAGTCTTATAAAATGATTTATGCATTTGAAATGTTGTGGTATTAATGCATTTATGGCACCTCAGCTTCATTAAACAGTTTGTGTAAATACATCTAATGACACTTTAGATGCAGCTTCTGTTTCCTCTGCAGTGAAAAGATGGAGTTTGTTGATAGTATGAGCACTCTAATGTGAACATTAAAATTAGCAAAAATAAATGACTCCACTGCTCACAAAGAGAAGTATGAACACCGATGACATCACAACAGAGTTGCACTGTCCAAAAAGTTTGTGGTATTAATTTTTTTTTACTTGAAGCATATGTTGTCCTTTTCCTTTATTTTGTTGCCAGAGTTCACCAGAACGCTTCATTTACATGTTAAATTCTCAAAAATGTTCTTTTGGGGGGGGATGCCCCCAGACCCCCCTACAAGGGTCATATTCCGAACTATGTCCCCTTTTTGACCTCTTGTGAGTTTGCACGTATGAACCTTTTCTTCTTTCCATTACAAGGAGCTTCTTACCTTTCTTTTGGTACTCAGCATCTAGATTTCTTTAAATAGAAAGCGCCAAGGTGTAGTCATAAATTTCATAGTGTTTTTCATTTAGCCCAGAACTAACCTCAATTACCCCCATGCATCTCTTGCCTGTAAGATTCTGTCATTAAAAATACGGCCACCCATCATTCAACCAACCTCCAGGGACTCCAGATGAAAATGTACCTGTATCTGGATAAAAAGGGAATTGATTTGCTGACAGAGTGCCACAGTTCTGAGGAATTTGCACTTGCAGTGAATAGGTAAAAATACCAAGGTTTATAGCAAAGGAAAAGTGTCACTGCAAAGCCATTAATTAAGGTTGTTTGGGTTAGACCACATCCTCTTATCCAACTACAAGATTCAAAAGAGTCATAAGCATGTTATGGTTATGGATCACGTTGTAGACGGCGGCTTCACCGCTCTCTTCACCAAGAATTTTGTTTGAACAAACCTCTAACCCTTATTAAATTTTCAGCACGCACCATTTGTGCTACATGGATCATTTTCACTTTACAGACAATAAAATGTGTGAAAAAACTGAAGGAACATGGTACAATGGGATCTTGTTTTTTTTTTTTTTTTTTAATTACTGATCTTTTTATTAAGTTGGTGATATCTTTTTTTTTATTTATTTTTTTTATTGTGTTTGTGTCAGTGTCACATTGTTTCTTGGCATTTTGAAGCTCA